AGTTAGGGAGATGGAGTGTGGGTGCCTCAAGTCCTGGAACCCACGGGCAGTTTGATGACCTAAGGCGAGCAGCGTGACACACTACTTAAAAGTGGGCTGCTGGTTTTGTGAAAGCAAGGCTTATGGTCTCAGTAGTTGTGGGAAATAGAAAATATTTCCACCTCTTCCCTGTCTCTCGACTCCTACTCCAATGAAGGTAGAAGCAATCTTTGTTTCCTAGAAGCGCAGACACTCAGTTTATACTTCATTGATAGCAACGTGGATAGCAATCTATCCTAGAATCGCTTATCATATAATATGTCCTAATAGTAGTGTATCCTATCACATCGTGATTTTCTTAAAACCGTAAGGTTTGGGGACACTGGTAGGCAAAAGCAGGAGAGAAAGAGGTTCTTAAGGGAAAAATAAAATCCAAAGTAAATTGCACCCACGATCCCACTGTGTGTGTGTGTGTAGGTATGTATGCGCACATAGAGAGGTGAAAGTCTTAGATCATCTCCAACATACAATCCCACCCTCCCCCAGGGTTAGCCTCTGTAGCATTTGAGGACATGCCTTTCCTGGCTTTTTCTTGTGCTTATATCTGATCTATAAGAATATACATGTACATGTACACATAGATGTTTACATCATCACAAATAGCCACATGTATGTGCACTTCTTTTGCACAATGGTGGAATCTTGCTATACCTATTGGTATACCACTTACTTTTATAATTATATAAAATTATATAATTTTATTTATATATTATATAAATATATATATAATTATATGTAATTATATATAATTAAATAAAAAATAAAGTGTTTATTTATCTTGGCAAGCCAGTATGCACTGTTCCACGTGCTCTTTATGACAGTAGCTTAGTGTGCCTAAATAAATATACCATTTTTATTGAACCAGTCCCACAACTGAGCTCATTGGTAATTTGGGGGATTATAAACAAGGCTGCAATTAACATCCTTGTATGTATATTTTCACTGATTGGCGTAATTATTTCTGAAAGATAGATTTCTAGAAATAGTAATGTTGATAACTGGGCCTGGCCTTTTGTTATTAATTTATCAAAAGAAAGAATTTGAGGTTGAGGGAGAAAGGATCAGAGGCAACAGAAACACGGAGAGCCTGGAAGACAAATGTTGGCAGGGTTCATCCAAACACTGTTGCGAGAACAAGAAATCTGAGTCTCTGACATCAGGGATCTGTTTCCATTGACGAGGGATCTCAAGAGCTCGGCGTCTCCAGCTTTCCTGAGTCAGCATTTTAATTTTAGGTAATAATTAGGTAAATTGAATAGTATATAATTCTTAGAACTTACTCAGACTTTATGCTCACTAAGCAACATTCTGAATGCAGTATGATTTCCCCAAAGATCTCACTTGAGAGAGAATTGAATAGAGGAAAAATGTAGATAGTAAGCTCTCTCCCAGTCTGTGTTTTGGGTTCACATAAATCTGCCCCTGAGAAATGAATCCTCCCAGCATGCTCATAAAATTAGTTTCTGAAATTACAGAATTAGTTTTTGAAACTACAGAATTACCTATGGGGCCTTTTGAAAAACATCCTGTCATTAACGTGTGACCATTTCGCCTCCATTATGCATCTCTGCTTTCAAACTCCTAGAAAGCAAGACCCAGCCTTATTTGAGTCTGTCATTCCTGCAGCTAGAGGGCAATAGCGGAGTGGGCGTCAGGAGCCCCGTTAATTTCTCAATGTCCTTGACATTGAGATCTCCTGGTTCAACATCTTAACTGCAACATTGACACTGCCTGCACCTAACTCCACGGTCTTCGGTCTCACTTGCCTTGAAAGCACACAAAAATAGCATCCTGCTGTTTATAGAGCAAAGTACAGTTCCCTAAGGGCTGCCATTTAGGACCCAAGATCTGGACCCATCATGACTTTGCAGTCCAATTTCTCACTCTACCTCTCATTTCCATCTCTAGGTCTCTGCTTATGTTATTTTCTCCACCTGAAATGCCTTTCCATTCCCACCACCCTCTCCTTGGAAATCTAACATTTAGATTATAGGAACAGAATTCTAATATATTTGTAAAATAGAAGGTACAAAGTTTTCCCTGATGGGTAGGGGCTTCCATAGTAAAACCAAGGTTGATAAGGCTGGGAGATGGGCAGGGATGGGGGTGAGTTTTGGACTCACGAGTCACAAGGGCCTATTTGCCCCTCCCCCTATCGTTGGCTTTTCTTTTGAGCTCTCGTTCCCACCAAAGAATAAGGTTTAAATGAAATTGCTTTCATAAATGGTCATGACTGTGTATCTGTATTAATGTTTTTTATAAAAGTAAATTTGGCATTATATTTCAACCTTTCTTGGGTAAGCAAATGGAAAAAGTAAGTTTGTGAAACTCAGAAATTAAATCTGTTTGTCAGAATGACATGAAACTGTCCCTTAGGACTGAACATAAAGAGAATTCTTCATTGAGGGGGGAAAAATCATTATTTCTTTCTAAAATTGACCAATGTGACATTTGTTTTCTTTTTGAACCTGGTTACCCAACACCATATTTTCTTTTTTGACCTTGGTTACCTGATACCACCACCAAGCCATCATTTATAAAGTTGTTTTAGAAAGTCTTTAGTCAAAACTCCATGGTAATTCTCCTCATTCTAAATTTAACTTTTTTCCTTCTCCTTGTGAAAAACAGGTAATTTTTTAAAAATTTGTTAAATATTATTCTAATATAAGATAATTCTAGGTCTAGAGCACCTTTCTCAGGATTTTTATTTTATTTTATTATAATATATGGAATATACAATGCTTTCCAAGTTCCAAGGATTAATCTTTGTCCAAAAGTTGTCCTGACTTGCTATTTACCTTGCTGCTAAAGAACAGAAAGAATCCCAACCATGAACCCTCCACAAATGAAATATAGAATTATGTTTGGATGTCTTTGCTACCAATCAGTTCTTCCCCCACCAAAAAAAAGATTAGGAAAAGATCCAGAACACTTCTCTCCTTTGATAGATGTCCAAGCCTCTCGGTATCCCCACCTCTGGAGTTGGGATACCCAGATATATATATATATATATATATATATATATATATATATATATATATA